TAGTGAACATCCATAGCCACACATGGCTTGACAACCTACTGTAGCACACACACACACACACACACACACACACTGCTGGATGCTGTCATGTTTGAGCTATGCTGGATGATGTGTCCGCTCCGGGCTTGTTATGTCGATGGGGAGCTTTTTATTTTCTCTCCTTTCTAGGACAAAGAAAGAGAGAGAGAAACCAGGTCATATGTTTTTGTCAAAGTCTCCACAACCCTGGGGGAGACAGGGGGAGGTGAAGGGGCTCTGTGGGGATTTCTGAGCACTCCAATCACCACATTATTAACCAATTAACTTCATCAAATACAATTTGATTAACTCCATGCAGCCAGAGAGTCAGAGTCAAGCTCCGGCTCTCTCACACAATATTTCCCATGAGAACCAGGGGCAGGAAGCCTGGATGGAATGAAAACTCTGGGTGTGTTTGTGCTTTTGTGTTAGTGTGTATGTGACATTATGTGGTGTGGAGTGTGAAAACAGGACTCAGCAGGGTGGAGGGTTTTGTGTGTGTGACATATTTTAACAGCTCCCTTCCCAGGCTCTCTCTCTCTCACACACACTTTCTTCTGCTCTCTCTCTGTCGATTGTTCAAAATCACGCACACTGATTCCATGAGCGCTTGATTTCTGCAGGTTAAATCCCAGGTGGGTGGGGCAAAGCTGTGATTGACTGGATTCACAGATATACCATTAGTTTATCACGTCTGTGCTCATGCTTCTTTTCACGCCTCCTCGCTGGCAATAACATGACCGGAAGCCTCATGTTTTCCAGTTGTTCGTCTGTACGTCCGTCCCACCTGTTCTCGATATATTGTGTTCGCCAGAACACTTCAAATTTGGCCCAAACGTCCACTTGGATTCAGGATGGACTGATTAGATTATGGTGGTCAAAGGTCACTGTGTCCTTACATCTGTCCCATTCCTGTGAATTTGACTGGTTGGCAGAGGCACACAGCTGCCAAGTCCTTCTACTTTTGCTTTACACATAACTCACACTAACCACCAGGTAAAGTAACGCCGTGCCTTCTTCAGTGTGCTAGTGATTGTACAGTTCTGAACACAAGACATTTTGAGCAGTCAGTTTGATCTGCTTTATTCCTGCCTTTTGTATTTATGTTCACCTTTATGAAAAATATATCCTAATCTAAATCCTAATCTTTTAAAAAGCTGCAGAAGATCTGTGGCCAGAGCTTGAACTGATGGAAAACCATGGGGACAAAAGTCTCTGTTACTGTCCTGGTGAATTAATGAGCAGCTGGTGATGTTAACTGGTCCAGACTTTCCACTTGGATAGTGGTCAAACAGGCCAAAAGGCTGTTGATCAGGGTGTGACGACACATTTAGCTCACGAGACGATACTGGGATCACAAGAACGAGAAAGGACAATATTTTAACACAAAATGCCAAACAGTGCAGGTGCATTTAGAAATGTTTTAACCAATCATCTGGTAACGAATGTCACTTCAGTGCTACAGTGTGAATTATCACATGCAGTCAAAGACGACAATGTTCAGCCACTGTAAAAGGTTCAGACTCAGCTGACTGGCTTCTCTCCTGGAGGATTTCACATGAGTCTCTTCAGACATTAGGACTGTGCATGAGCTTCTGACTTCTAACTGAAGCTGTGCGTTACCTTCTATGCTGTTTTTACCATGTGGCTGCATGTCAGCACACCAGGATGGACGGCTGCTCACCCAAACCATCTCACTGTCTCCGGGTGCAATGTCACTCAGCATTCCT